GGGTGAGCTTGAAGGGGGAGAACGCCAGCTCCACGGCGGAGGCGCCGGACCGCGCCCTCCAGGAGGTTTTGGACGACTCGGCGGCCTCCCAGGGCGTGAGGCGGCCGTCCAACTCGGGCAATAGGATGTCGGGGACCTTAAGGGGGGGTGTGCGTTGGTGTTTGCTGACGTGGCGGGGCACATTCGGGCGCCGTATGGCGCGCGGAAAGAAACACCCGGCCGGCCGTCCGCGCGGCGGCGGGCGGCAGGCGCTGCGCAGCCCGGCTTTGCTGGCTCGTGCGGCAGGCCAGGCGCGCGCCCCTCTCACGCGCCTTTGACGGCCTGTTGCTCAATTCCAAAATCGATCCCCGAAGGCGCCCCTCTCCTGCCCCCTTCCCTCTCGAAACGTACCTGGTAGCGCCCGGCCCCTGGCTCATCCACCAGCAGCCTGACAGTGCCGCCATAAGACAGAAGCGTGAGGTTGAATCTTGGCGGCCCCGCAGCCGCGCCGCCGCCGCCGCCGGGGGCCGGCGGCGCGTCGCTGATGAGCGCGGCGGACAGCGCGGCGCCCGACGCGGCGACGCTGGCGGGGTCGACCGTGAACTTGCGGCCGGCCTTGCCGCGGTTGCGGTCGCAGAACGACGCGTCCTTGCATTTCTGCAGGTAGGGCGGCGGTCGGCGCGGCGGGCGCGGGCAGGGAGGGGTTGGGGACGCGGGTCTGCCGGGGGAAGGGGGGACGCTGAGGCGCTGGCCCCGTGCGCCGCGCACCAGCGTGGGAACCGCTGCGACAGGTAGCGCCTCGATATGGTCTCCATACGCCAGCAACTGGCATCCCGCGCTGAATGGCACGATTTTGATGTATCAGTGGCATCACCTGACCCCGATCACGCGCGCCCAGGCACCCTCCCGGCGATCTGGGCTAGTGAGCCCACCTTGAACTCGTGCTCCTTGAAGCCCTCAGCCTTATCCAAGGCGAGGAACACCATTAACACGATCAGGGCGATCATAGCCCCGCTCTGCCCTCGCCGCACCATCCCGAGCACCTTGCCGCAGATCGCTCTGTGCCGCAGTGCACTGCAGGCGGCACCTGCGGCATGTATCAAGTTGCCAATCAGGTATGATATCAATGGGCCCACTGCATCACGGAAGGCTGGTGCCAGTTCTTCGTTCCGCACACACCCGGTGAGCACAGCACGAGCAGTGGGGCACCCTTGCAGTCAGCGTACATGTGCTGTATTCAGCCAGAACTGTCAAATTGGTGCCGTCATGCACCTATCGCCACTCAATAATTCAAAAGCACGCTGCGTTTCCCATACGTGAGCTGCAGCACAAACTTCTTCCGCTTTCCCGACAGCTGGACCGCTCAGTTGACCTCCGCCATAAGCGCGCCTCAGCATTAGAACGTTTACAGGCCACGGGTGGGGTCGCGGCATCGGCTGTGCTGTGTGATGGGTGTGGCATATAAGTGCAATTGCTCTTCACCTAATATGGCAGCGCCACGCGCGCGTGCGCACAAACGGAAGCCGCAGGGGCCCTACACATGAGTGTGAAAACCGCAGCTCAGGCCGCCGTCATCAGCGCCGCCCGCGCGGCGCGGGGCTGCGCCGCGCGCTGGCAAAGCGTCCCCGGCTGTCACGGCTGCGCTCCTGCGGCCTGGCGCGCCGCGCACCCCCCGCAGCAGTGCGCCTGGCGGCAGGCCGCGTTCACACACGCACGACGCCCTGGCCTGGCCTGGGCAGGCGGCAAAGGTTGAGGTCTCAAATCCCCTGGGAAACGGGGTGACATGTAATTGGCTTGTGGAAGCCCGGATTGCGGATTGCGTCGTCAAAAGTGCTTCCTGTGTCCCAACATAACGGGACCCGAGCCCAGCAGTGCGGTGGCCGCCTCCCTGCCTTGGAAAATCGGGAGGGGCGGCTGTGGCGGCGGCGGCGGCGGGGGCGCGGGGCGGGCGGCGGCGCGCCAGGCCCGCACCCGCGCCCGCGCGCCAGGTTTGCGAGTGGTGTGCAAAAGGCGGCGCCCAATAACGGGGAGGGCCACACACAGGTACAGCGGCGGAGAATTCACACGATGGTTGGCGCCCAGCCGCGGCTGCGGCGGCCGGGACCCCAGAGGGCGGAATGTGCCGCGGCCCCCGAGGCCGCAGGCCGTCCGTCGACCGGGGCCGCTCCCGCGCGCACGCGTTCTCCTCTCCCCTCTAAATCCCCGCTCAGCAATGCGTCACGGCGGCGCTTTCGCTGTGGGTACAAAACGCGCCGCGCGGCCGCCCGCGCCCCTCGTGGCTGCGGCAGGCGCGGGGCCGCTCGAGAGACGCTCGCCGGCAACGGCTCGCGGCAAGCGCGCCCCCTTGGCGCCCATGGCCCAGGGATTGCACCAGGCACGGGTGGGGCCGCCGGCGGGGGCAGGGGTTTAGAGAAGAGGCGTGGCGGGCGCCATGGCTCTCGAGACGATCAATCACACCGCATGGCGCCGCTTTCGATTGGGTGGCAAAATTGAGGGGCCGCCGGCCGGCTGGGTTCATCCAGCGCCGCCGCCGCACAAGTGCGCGCTAGCTTGCCGCAGGCGGGCGCCGCGCGTGCCGCATCGGCGGGTGGCGCGGAGGGCCCTGGGTGGGTCTGGGCGGGTATATGGGCACACGCAAGTGTTGACAAACAATCATGACGGGAGGGGGGCTTGCGGAGCCAGAGCCCAGCTAACGACCTAGGCAGGGGCAGGGCGCCGCGCGCGCCCGGCCTGGGCGGGCCGCGCGGGCGAGCGGGCCGGCCGGGCGGGCGGCGCTCCGGGGCGGCAACACACGGCACACGACTGGGAACCACGAATTCGCTCCGACGGTGGGGGAGGGGACACGTTGAGATGTATGCACACTGTGTGTGTGTGTGTGTGTGTGCGGGGACCGGGGCAGCAGCCCAGGGGGGTGGTCTCAAAGGGGCAGCCGGAGGGCAGCGGGCACAGCTCCCCTGGCTCTGGAGGCGGCGCGCGCCTCACAGGGCAACTTCAGGGCTGGCCCGCCCGGCGGGTTTGTTTGTGCACAGGGGCATACTGCCGGAAGTAGCGGCCCAGGGCGGTGGCCGCGCGCCGGCCCGCAGGCGGGGCCAGCGGCGCGCAATCAGGGGTCCGCCTGCGGTTGCGGGGTCGGTCTCTCCTGCGGTCCCTTTTTCGGGGGACAAACGGACGTCTCGGGGCAAGCAGTGTCGCTGGGCGGCCGCAAAGTGGGTGGCGCCGGGCTCTGGTGCGTTCTGGGCAGTCCCCGCGATCTGATCCCGGGGGCAACTCGAGGTTGGGTGCCGGCTCCTTTCTCGCGCGCCCAATATGGGGCGGTGCCCGATCCTAGCGGGCTGGCCGGCCCTCTCAAAAGGGGATTGCGGGTTTTGGGGTCCGCAACAAAAAGGGGGTGGCCTGCGCATGATGCGCACGCACGGCCTGGAGGGAGTGAGGGGCGGCTGGCCCCCCGAGAAGGCGGCTTCTCAGCGGCCCCGTTTGTGACGTCATCCGGCGTCATCACTGCTGCTGCGCGTCGAGAGACGACAGCAGCTTGTGGGCGGCCCTGACGGTGGCCGCCTGGATCAGCCGCATGACGAGGCGCCCGCCCGACCGCCGCCGCTGCAGGCCGCCGCTTACGCCGCCGCGGCGCCCAGCATCACCCGCAGCGGCGGCCGCGGCCGCCGTCGCAGCGCAGCTCGCGCCGCCGACGCTGACAGGGCCGCTCGCGTCGCTGCCCGCGCGGCTGGCGGCGGGACAGCTGGCGGGGTATGCCCGGCAGCGGGGGCGCGGCTCAAAAGCCTCCGCGGCCACGAGCCGCGAGTCCGGCCAGCCGGCACCCACCGACGCCAGCCGGCCGCGCTCGCAGCACGCGCACGGCTGCTGCTGCTGCTGCTGCTGCTGTGGGGAGCCGCGGGCGGGCGCCGACGGCGACCGCGACAGCAGCGCGGCGGGCGCGGACGGCGTCTCGGGGGCGTCGAGCGACGAAGACAGGTCCTCCACCGCGAGCGGGTGCGACCCGACGCGAACGAGGCCGCCCGCCGCCGCGGCGCCCACTGACGCCGAGCGCGCGAGGCGCGGCGGGCCGGCGGCAAAGTCGCAAAGCGGGTGCGAGCCCACGCGGCGCAGCGCGGCGGCGGCGGCCGCGGCTGAGGGCGCAGGCGTGGCGGCGGCGCTGCCGGCGCCGCGGATGAGCAGCTGCGGCGCCGGGATGCGTGCAAACGCAGTGGCGCTGCCTGAGACGACGCGCGACGCCAGCCAGCGCAGCAGGCGCAGCTCCAGGCGCGGCAGCAGCGACGCGACGCGCGCCTGCAGGCCCAAAAGCGCGCCTGCCGCTGACGCGAGCGCGCGCAGGGGCGCGCCGACGCAGCGCAGGAGGCCGCCGAGGCCGAGGCCGAGGCCGCCGCCGGGGCGCGCCGGATTCGCAGACGCAGCGGCGGGTGCACCGCTGCGTGGGGTGCACGGCGCGGTGGCGCTGCTGCCGCAGCAGCCCGCGAACGCGTCTGCGCCCGCGTCGGCGCCGCCGGCGCGGATGTAGCTGCGGAGCGCGCGGTCGGTGCGCTGCAGCATCGGCCAGAGGCCCTTCTTTATTCCGAGGTTAGCGAGGCCGGCCCTGACATGGGAGTCCTCAAAGTAAATCATCAGGCACTCCGCCGCCGGCCCCTCGTAGTCGGCGCCGACGACGCCGGCTGGCGGCGACCGGATCACCGCGCCGCTGCAGTAGTCTGTCACAGCCACGCCGCGCGGCGGCGCGCCCGCGCCGCACGCCGCGGGCTGGCCGCACGCGCGCGACAGGACGTAGCAGCCGCCGTCGCACGGCCGCGCCCACACGCGGCGCGCGTACGTGTAGCTCCGCTGGCCGAGCGGCTTGGGGAAGCGCACCGCCGCGTGCATCACGTCCGACTCGCGCTGGCCCGCCGCGGCGCCGCCGCCGCCGCCGTTGCGCGCGGCGGCCAGCGCGGGGCCGAGCGCGGCCATGCTCTTGTCCCAGCGCAGGCGGCCGGCGTCGTCGAGCATAAAGGCCCGCAGCTCTGACGGCGTGGCGCCAAGGAACACGCTGCGGGTCATGTAGAGGTAGAGCCCGCGCCGCAGCGGGCGGCGCCAGCCCCAGTAGAGGACGCCCGGGGCCGTCTCCTGCACAACCGCCTCCCAGGGGCCGAAGAATGCGTCCGTGTCAGGAGACCCATAAAGCGACCCGCTGCTCGAGCCGACGGGCCCCGCGGCCTCCGCGCGCGCGAGCGCGTCGCGGCAGGACGCCTCGCCAAGCATGGCGCCAAACTGCAGCAGGTGCGTCTCGCCGACGGCAGCGGCGACGGCGGCGCCGCAGTCGGCGGGCAGGTCGTCGGCGCCGAGCGAGGCGGTCGCCTCGGCCGGCGCGGCGCGGACGCCGGACAGCTCGCGGCCGTCAATGAACACGGCATCGGCGGCATCGGCGTCGGGCGCGGCTGCCGCCGCAGACTGGCTGGCGCTGGGGCTGCGGAGCAGCTGCTGTTCTTCCGGTGAGGGAGGGTGGTACGGCCCCCATTCCTGGTAGGGCGCCGGCGCGAGGCCGCCGCTTGAACCCAGGGCAAACTGCGGGAGGCTCCCGGGACCGGCAGCGGCGCGGCTGCCAGCGCTGGGTTGCCACCGCGGCGGCCGAGGGGCGCCACTGCAGCCGCTCGACCGCGGGCCGCCGGCGCGGCGGCCGTTGCGGTCAAACTCCAGGGTCACGCGCGGCAGCGGCGTCAGCTGCACCGATATGCGCGGCCCGCGCCGCACGTGGTGCCTGCCAACGCCGAGGCCTGTGCCGCCGCCACGGTCGCCGGCAGCGGCGCAGCTGCTGCTGCACGCCAGGGAGTCGCCGCCCATGGCCGGATGCTGGCCTGACGAAACGTCAGCGTCCGCGTCACCACAGCCGAGCTCGGCACCGTTCTCGTCAGAAACGCTGCAAGCTGCGGAGTATAGGGCAGCATGGGGCGGCCGGGCCGTCAGAGGGGTGGACGTGGCGCTTGCGCACGGGCGCATGGGTGCAGGAGGTGCATGGGTGCAGCAGGTGCTGGCAGGCGCCATGCTGAAGTGGCGCGACAGCGTCCGCACACAGCGTATGCTGGTCCCGCACGGGCTTCCCCCGCACAAGAGCACAGGGTTTGTTGTTGGGAAAAATATTAGCTGCCAACGTACACCGCTGCTTGTGACGCTCACCGGTTGCGCCCACTGAGCTGAACCTGGGAGAAGACAGGGTGATGGTGAACACCGCACGGCCCGCAGGCAGCACGAGCAGCCCCACCAAGACTACCAAAGACTGCGAGTAGTACTGCGGTTGCACGGCATAGGGGGGGATGCATGAGACGGCAAACGCGCGGTCCTTGCACCCCACACCGCGGGCACCCGGCCAGGCTGTCGCCATCTTTGGATCCCTTCCCGCCCGCCGCTTGCCATATAAGTCTCCAGTAGCGCCGCAAGGCTCGATTGGCTGCGGGCAGGGCAAGGGAGGGCTTGTCAGGAAATGCGGGCCATCCAGCGTGGCACCGCGTCCCCGACGTTAAGGAAACGCGCCGCACCTGGCCAGCACGACACCGAGGGCTGCAAGTACCATATAGCTGCTGCTGCTGGTCAGGGCCTGGCTCCAAGGTCCCTGGGTCCCTTGCCCGTGGGGCAAGGCCGCTGAGGGAGCCATTATGGGCCAGGCGATGGGCCGAAGATGAAGCTAGGTGTATCAGTTCCTTTATGCTGCACCTGCGAGCCCTGCTCGTGCACCTGTGTGGGACTCAGGACCCGACGACGCTTCGGTTCTGGCCCAGAAAGAAAACGCACACGAGACCGTGCAGGCCTCACTCGATCCCTTAGGAATGTAAAAGAAACATCCCTCAAAATGCGACGGGTGTGTGCGTCCATGGGCACCGGTCAACCCGTGCGAGGTCCCCGGTGTGCGATGCATGCGCAGGTCCACACAGGATTCAAGGATGTCTGATTGTGCTGACGCGCCTCATCCTGTCGCCCGGGTCATCATAGTATTCAAGCGGGTAATTATGGTGTTGTGCGGAATGGATTATTGAAGGAGTGATCATTGCCGTTTACACGCACAAGCTGCATGAATAACAGCGGGGTGCAGCCAGAAACAGAATGCTTTGCCAACCAATCAAACCCACGGGTACCACTGCGTTCGTTGACACGTGAAGCAGTTTGCAGCACAAGGCAGAGTCCCCTGAATGAGATATCTGTATAATGCACAGGTTGCGCTGTGCACATCAACGTCAGGGCGTCGTGCAACCATTATGGTCGGGCCTGTTCATCAGTGGGTCGTTTCCGGTGACGCCCCCAGCTCATGAGTAGCATCGCGCGCGTTGCAGGCAATGATGTTCAACCTAGCGCTCGATACACCCGCAACCCCTGCACTTGCTCGCAACCTGATCATATCACATGCAGACCCTCAAATAGTGGGTTGCTCGTCCTTGTGCTGTTGCCTTCCACGTTTTGCACCGGGAGCCGACAGAGAGCCTACACAGCTTATGTTCACCTTATCAATTATAGGCAGGTTATGGACACGTCCATCCCATTCACCTGTCACTATCCTATTCCATGAATTCGTACCCAGTCGCAAATCTTGCCTGGTGGCTGATGTCATGGTCTGGCTTTGCGTGCCATCCTGTTTGCATGCAGCCCAGCGCTGTATGTTCCAAGCGGCAGGGAGAGGCTGCAGAGGCATCAGCTTCCCCAATGGTAAGTTGACTTTTGGTTCCGGAGCGCATGGCAACTTGCATGATGGGGTCCCAACTGACCCAGGGTGACTGGTGTATGACAAACCCCTGTTTGTGAGGTGCGCCAACGCTACTACACTACATTCGTTTGATCCATCGTCGAGTTCTCTGCTCACTGGGATTGCAGCGCGGTGCGCTGTGAGTGTCAGATCAATGGGGTCGCAGGATTTGTGCTGATATACAAGAAAGTCACAGCGCCTTGACAGCATGGAAGGAGCGGTGGAGGTGGAGGAGGGTGCACCATCCCACGCGCCTGCAGCAGGGGCGGATTCGGGTGCGGGCGATGGTGCGCCCGCTCCGCCCCCAACAGAGGCGGCGGCGGGCGATCCATCGCGCCACCCGCACGAGCTGCCGCTCGCACCACAAGGTGAGCAGCAGCAGTGGGGCAATCAGGAGCAGCGGCACCTGGCAGGCGATGACGGGGCGGCCGCGACACAGCCAGACCAGCACCTGCGCGAGCACGGCGAGCTGCAGCACCCACAGCAGCAGCAGCAGCAGCAGCAGCAGCAGCAGCCGCCTGCCAAGCAGCAGCAGCAGCAGCAGGAGCAGGGGGATGAGCAGCAGGAGAAGCTTGAGGCGCAGCACGTGGAGCAGCCGCACGAACATGAGCAGCAGCAGAAGCAGCCGGAGCAGCAGCAGCCGCCAGGTGGGCAGCAGCGGCGGCACGAGGAGGGGCAGCAAGGGGTGGGGGAGGACGACTTGGAGCCGCAGCTCAAGTACGAGCGGCTGGGCTGCGATGTAAAGGATGTCCTGCAGGTGGGGGGCCGCCCTGCTGGGCAGCTGGGGGAGGGGGAGTTGGGCGCGGCCCAGCGGGCGGCAGGCAGCTGGCTCAGGGCGGCGGGCCGGCCGCGCGCGAGCGGTCAGAGAGAGGGCACCCTGACAGAGGCGCGCCGCAGGGGAGGGGCCGCGTGCGCACGTAGAATGCAAGCCCTGGCCGGCCCCCACGCACGTGCGCGTCGAACACACCCGGCTTGTGGCGCCGCATGCTTCTGCAGCACGCACGGACTGTGCCGCGCCGCGGGGCCAATCGTTGCTGTGCCCGCGCCCGCGCCCGCGCCCGCAGGGCACCGACGCGACCTGCCTGGCCCTGTCTGAGAAAGTGCTTGCCCTGGGCACTGCGGCTGGCAGCATCCACATCCTGGATTACTCAGGAAACGAGGTGCGGCACGTATGCGTCGGACACCATGCCACACAGCCGATGGGGACACCTACACACTGCACCGCCGATGGGGACACTGCACCGCCTGCTCAGTTGTTGTCGGCGTGTGCCCCGTGGGAGGAGCAGCTGTGTACAGGCTCAGGAGGGCAGGGCGTGGGCGGTGGGGAACACCGCTGGCTGGCGGTGCAAAAGTGGAGCTCGCTGCAGCTTGGTCACGCACCGCCCAGGCACTGCGGCGAGCTTCAAGCTTCTCGGCGCGCGCAAGTCGGCAATCAACCCGTGCGCCGCTCGCCCGCGGTGCCTCGTCTGGCGTCACCCCGCCCCCCAGGTGAAGCGCTTTACGCACCACTCGGGCCCTGTGCGCCACCTGTCGTTTGACGGGGAGGCGGAGTACATCGCGTCGTGCTGCGGGGAGAACTACGTCACGGTGCGCACGTGTTTTCGGTGTGTGTAGGGAGAATGTGTGTGTGTGTGTGTGTGTGTGTGTGTGAGTGTGTGTGCGTGTGTGGTGAGTGGGTATGCGAGGGTGTGGGTGCCTGTGTTTTTGTGCAAGTGTACGTGTGCGAGGGGGCAGGGGCGTGTGTGTGAGTGTGTGTGTGTGTGTGTGTGTGTGTGCGTGTGTGTGAGGGGGGCCGGCAGGGTCACTTTATAGGAGTCAAGGATGGCTGGCCAGGATTCAGGTGGGATGAGGTAGGACTGCAACGGCATGTGGGGCCACGAATGGCCCCCGCGCGCTGCTGTCAGGACAACGATCGATCGCCAGCTTGGCTTCCTCCGCCGCCGCGCGATTTGGTTCAACAGGTGGCCAACCTGTACACCGACGAGGCGAGCAAGTTCACATTCAAGCGGCCCATCACGGTGCGGGGCCCCCACGCGGGGCCGCCGCGATGGCTCGCGCCCCGGCTTGCATGACGCTCGACGGGGTGGTTGGGCCGCAGGCCCCGCGGCACCGCCGGGGCCGCGTTCTGGAGGGGCGTCGCGTATACGGCTTAAGAGGGCCGCGGGCTCCGCCTAAAAAACCCCTGCGTGGACCTGCGTCGTTGTGGCACAAAAAGGGGTTGCGTGACACACGTCATGCATTGCGTTGCACTGTACTGCTGCACCGCAGGTGGTGACGCTCGACCCGCGGTACGGGTCCCGCAAGACACGCGAGATGGTCACCGGTGACGTCCGTGGCCGCCTCAAGCTCAGTTCACAGGCGCGTGCGCACACGCGCACACGTATACGCGCGTGTATGTTTGGCTCCTCATGCATTATAGGGGCCCCACGCATGGGGCTTGCCCAGCCGCATGCCACAGGCCCCCGCGGCGCCGGCCGGGCCGCCCCAGGGCTGCCCGCGGGCGCGCCCCCACCAGCGCTGCGCGCTGCACGCGCCGCCTGCTTCGAGCCGCGGCGGGCCCTGCGGCCTCGTGCCTCTCGAGTGTCTCGCCGCCGGCGCGCCCCTGCGCCCCCATGCGACCGCGCGCCGCCGCGCGTCCTCTCGCGAGCCTACACGTGCAGCGCCGGTCAGACCGGCCCCGGCTGCTGCGCGAAACTTCCCGCGCTGCCGTTCGCACCCTGATGCGTGCGTGCCCCCTGCCGCGCGCTGCCGTGCGCGCCCCCCCCTGCAGGGCTGGCTGGGCCGCAGCGACCACGTGCTGCACCAGGGGGAGGGCGCCATCCAGGCCGTGGCGTGGCAGGGCACCACCCTGGCCTGGGCCAACGAGGTCGGGGTAAAGGTAGGGGATGGGAGCGGGTGAGGGGGTTTCAAAGGGGGGTGTTAAGGGGGGCTGAGGTGGCATGACAGGTAATGGGATGGGAGGACAATAACAGGCAAGGGCACGAGATGCCAGCCGCTGAAACTCGCAAATCTGGACAAGCCCTCACACATTATCCCATACCCACACCCACACCCACACCCAACCAAACACCCACACCGACACCCAGGTCTACAGCTCCTCCAACCACCAGCTCCTGGGCAACCTCGGCCGCCCCAAAAACGGCCGCTTCGCGGACTGCCTGGCCTGCCGCCTGTACCTCGCGCCCGATGAGGGGGCGGTGTACGCGGCGTGGGCGGACGCGGTGCGCGTGGCGCGCATCGTGGCGAAGCAGGGGGACGGCGCCACCACCACTCGCCACCTGCAGGTGCGGAGCGCACGCGCGCGCGCGCGCGTGTGTGTGTGTGTGTGTGTGTGTGTGTGTGTGTGTGCGGACGCACATATGTGTGTATGGGGGGAGGGTGTGCACACGTATGCACGTGTGATTGAATTTGCGTGTGTGATTGAGGGGTGGGGCAGGAAGGAGGCTGCGGCAAGGCCGTTGGGCCTCCAGGGCACGGAACGCGCGAGAGGAACGTCCGCGCCCCTCGCAGCCGCCCCCTCCAGGAGCCTCCCCTCAACAGCAGCCGCGTGGGCCGCCTCGTTGCCTGAGCCCCCCGCCCCCCGACACTCCCCACCCGGTCCGTCAGGTGCCCCCTCTCATGCCCTGACCCCGTCCCAACCTCCTGCCC